AGCCGCAGTTCATACATATGTTTCATATGTTTGTTGTTGTTTGATTTATCATCTACGGGTTTATGTCGAATTAATTTGATGGCCTGCTCCCAGTTGGCTTGTTAGCTCAATTGGTAGAGCGCTGCACTAGTATCGCAGAGGTCAGTGGTTCGAATCCCGTACAGGCCTGAAATTTTTTTCAGGTCTGATTTTCACTATTGCTCAAATAGTGCTTTACTGCGAAGGATCGTTCACATATACGTCTCATAACCGCAGTTCATACATATGTTTCATATGTTTGTTGTTGTTTGATTTATCATCTACGGGTTTATGTCGAATTAATTTGATGGCCTGCTCCCAGTTGGCTTGTTAGCTCAATTGGTAGAGCGCTGCACTAGTATCGCAGAGGTCAGTGGTTCGAATCCCGTACAGGCCTGAAATTTTTTTCAGGTCTGATTTTCACTATTGCTCAAATAGTGCTTTACTGCGAAGGATCGTTCACATATATGAGTTGATAGTGTAAATTGGCCACCGTAAAAAGTTTCAAGGCTGATGTTTCGAGCGTTAGCCCCTGGTCAGAGCGAATTAAAGGGTGGTATACTTAAAAGCGTAAAACTGACTTAAAAGTGTAAAACTGCAGAGAAGAAACCAAAGGAATACCACAAAAAATTACGGTTCAAGAAATTAAATTTAAGTACCTGATTCTCCAGAGCTTGAATTCCATCATGGTCAGCATGTTGCTGAAAATAGAAAATATTTCGGCATGAGCGATGTGGGCAGGTCAGTGACGCATGATTTGGTTTAATCAACTGGGGTGATAGTGTAAATTGGCCACCGTAAAAGTTTCAAAGCTGACGTTTCGAACGTTAGCCCTTCGTCAGCGCAAATTAAAGGGTGGTATACTTAAAAGCATAAAACTGCAGAGAAGAAACCAAAGGAATAACACAAAAAATTACAGTTCAAGACATTAAACTTAAGTACCTGATTCTCCAGAGCTTGAATTCTATCACGGTCAGCATGTTGCTGAAAATAGAAAATATTTCAGCATGAGCGATGTGGGTAGGTCAGTGACACATGATTTGGATTTATCAACTGAGTTGATAGTGTTAATTGGCCACCGTAAAAAGTTTCAAAGCTGACGTTTCGAACGTTAGCCCTTCGTCAGCGCGAATTAAAGGGTGGTTTACTTAAAAGCGTAAAACTGCAGAGAAGAAACCAAAAGAATACCACAAAAAATGGCAGTTCAAGACATTTAATTCAAATACCTGATTCTCCAGAGCTCGAATTCTATCATGGTCAGCATGCTGCTGAAAATAGAAAATTTCAGTTCGGCATGAGCGATGTCGGCGGGTCAGTAACACAAAAGAAAGCACAAATGCCAGCGTGATCCATATTTAAGCTTGGCCAAAGTCCAAATTTACTGCTGTCATCAATTAGGATAAACTGCATTTGGGAGTTTTAAGGAGAATCTGACGAATTATATTGTACAATGAACCACAAGTAACCCAGGCTCACTGTCTGTGTCACGTACACCCGTACACCTTGTTAAGTAGAGAGAACATATGGGGCGAAGTTTAGGTCTGGAAATTTGCTTGAAAATGGAAATAGCAATCAAGGAAACTTACCATGTGACGATTTGTTGTTGTCGTTAATATGTACACGAAGTTTCGGGAAAAGTACTCTTCTTCACCTTTCCTTCATAGTAGAGAGGCAAGGTAGGAGGCTGACGGCAGCGTCGGGGACCGATTGACCCTCAATCCAGCACATTTTTTCGCGAAAATCCAGTCCAGTCGCCAAATAAACACGCCGGGCTCGTAGAACAAGAACAACTCAAAACCGTGAATCCGCTAAAGCAGCTCCAGCTTAAAACGCGAAGCCAGCAGTCTCCGTAAAACTTGTCCGTTAACCCACAAGAATGGCGGCCCGAAACCGTTGTATTCAAACTGGCACTGAGCTCGAGGCACCAGGTGACGAGTATAATAAGTCCCCGTGGAGTGAGGAGAGTCCCATATTGCTCAAAGGCAAAACTCACCGTCCGACTACACCCTCGGGAATATTGGCCAGAATCCATTCTTTCCCAACAGCCAATTATACATCGAGATGGACAGAAAAAATTGAAATTCATATATTCCCGAGGGTGTAGTCGGACGGTGAGTTTTACCTTTGAGCAATCTGGGACTCCCATCACTCCATGGAGACTTATTATACTCGTCACCAGGTGCCCCGAGCTCAGTGCCAGTTTGAAGTGGACCAGTTGTGATGCCAACAGTTTCGGGCCGCCATTCTAGTGGGTTAACGTACAAGTTTTACGGAGCCTGCTGGCTTCGCGTTTCAAGCTGGAGCTGCTTTAGTGGATTCACGGTTTTGAGTTATTCTTGTTCTACGACCCCGGCGTGTTTATTTGGCGACTAGATTGGATTTTCGCGATAAAAACGTACTGGTTTGAGGGTCGATCAGTCCCCGACGCTGCCTTCAGCCTCTTACCTTGTCTCTTTACTATAAAGTAAAAGGTGAAGAAGAGTATTTTTCCCGAAACTTCGTGTACATATTAACGACAACAACAAATCGCCACATGGTAAATTTCATTGATATTTATTTCTATTTTAAAGCAAATTCCTAGACCTAAACTTCGCCCCGTGTGTTCTCTCTATTTAACAATGAGTACGTGACACAAACAGTGAGCCTGGGCTACCTATGCAATGAACATAGAATTACAAAACTGTGGAATATTATGTGTAAAGTAGCTCCTCCGTCTTCCTTAGGTACTCTTTCATCCTTTAAGAACTTTGTCACTAATCACTATTTTAATTTATTAGCAAATGTTTTCGATATTGACCAACCGTGTACCTGGTCAGTGTTTATAGACTGTTCCTGCCATAGAACTCATTCGCACTGACTTAAAACTTTGTAATATTTATTTATTTTTTATTCTGTAGGGAGTTTCCTTGCATGGGTACTCACGTCCCGTTCGTTACTCCCTTTTGGCAATTTTTTGTACGTGTAACTTCTCGTTTATTACTTTTGTAACTCAGTAGAATGCCAATAAAAAAAAAAAAAAAAAAAAAAAAAAAGAGAAACATGCACCGAAAAGGTAAACTCCCATCTCGTAGAATGCTCGAATACAAAGGGAAGAACGACGCACAAAGAAGATTCAACATAATCCAGTACCTTTTCCTCTCCATCTCGAATTGCACCTTCCGACAAAGACTTAAATATTATCTGGAACTTTAAATCTGGAAAGTGCATTAACCCTTATACATGTACTCCCAAGATCTGATGGTTCATTCTCCCCTCTAGCTCTTGCAAATTTCTTTGTGGGTGGGTCAGTGTCACAAGCAAAAGCACAATTGGCTACAGAGCAGGTGTAATTTTGGTGAGCAAGTGCTCAGTATTTTCTTGTTTAAAATTATAGCTGCCATCTTTGATGTCTATAGCAGCAGATGGCTGGGGAGAGAAGGTAATTTATACAAAGAGGTGAGCAATTGTCACAAAGAAAGAGAGGAGAAGGGGTGGGGCAAATTAGAAAATATTCAAATAAAAGAAGCCTCCCAAAAAAGGGTTGGATGGTATTGGTTGGATATATGTATAACATTAGTAGGCTATTACCTGTTTCAAGGCTTGAACCTTCCGATTTATTTCCACCAGGGAATTTCCCAAGCCATGAATTTGAGCCTTTATGTCTGCAATTTCTGTATCTTTCAGGCGGTCCTACAATTACCAAACAAAACAAAAAAATTAATGGAAAGTGTTTCAAGTTGTAGTAAATAAATAAGCAAAAATGAGGGATAAAAGCAATATACACTTTACCTTTTGTTGCAAAAAGGCTACGTCACAAAAAGAAATATGACACTGTTCATTTGAATGTTTACTTTCCCCTTCCACAAGTTCTCTTTTTAAATGATCCATGGCATTGCGATCACCAGTTTGCTGAAAATAGGAAAATTAGGTGGGACAAACTTATAATGAGTATTTCTTGTTTTATTTCCAACAGCTGAACCTCTACTTGAGATGAGAATTATTTTCAATGGGAGGGTGCTCTAGGAGTTTTTGCATGTGTGGTAAACCCCTCATTGAAGGGTGCTAAATATGGGGGTGAAAAGAGCAAAAATTAAAAGGTTATAAGGCAATTAAAGTCCATCAACACTCTGTACCAAGACTAGATTGTACAACTGTATGTCATTCGGAAATTGTGCACAATTTTTAAAAACATTGAAAACACCCTAATAGTTTCATTACTTTACTTTGAAACAAAAACTAACGCGAGCACTATACAGAATAAAAAATTGAAAAAACATCACTCTAAGAGCCTCAAGCTTGTAAGCGGCAAGTCCCTGCTTGTTGTAATCAGTCGGGAGTAGTAAATTAAATAGTTAAAAATGTTGTACAACCCAAATGGCAGCGACGAGTTGAGGTTGTTTGCGGTCTTCTGGGAAAATGGAGTGGGAATTAGTATGTGAATTATTGAATTGTCTGCATCACTGGTTAGATCTTTTTCGAAGTTTGGATCCACCTGCAAAACCACTCTTTCGACTGCAGAGGCACTTTCTGAAGTTTTCAAATATTCACTTAGTGAAACTCCACATTCCTGCAAATATTTTTTAAGTTCTGCCACATTCATGGCATTCAAGTCACTTTTATTCTTCTAATTGGACATTTTAAACCTGAAACTTTTCAAGTTTTTCCGACTTTTCGAGACTTTAAGCAATGGAAAAATCATATAGTAAAGGGAATGTGAAATAGCGACTCACAGTTCATACACATGTAGCAATTTCTTGAGACCGGATGCCCGAAATTTCACGGTTTGTTTACATAAAAAAATCACCTGACACTAGACATGAAATCTAACGCCTAAACGGTGAATTATGATTGGGTTTACCTTCATCTGCACAAGGCTCATTGACGTACCTCTGGTTTAAGAGATGCAATGATGGAGCAAATCTTTCCCTCTGCATCATCATCTGGCTGGAACTAAGAGACATTATGCAAAAGATGAGGTTATGAAAAACAGTATGAAAAACTCTATCAAGAAAAATAGCTTGCCAAGAAACTTTTGTTATGAACAGTGACTGTAAACAATAATTTCTGGAAATTTCTAGAATGCTAAGTAAAGGTGACATGGATACTCAAACTTTCTAATGAGATAGTGCAGAACATTCCAGAACATTTTATTAGGTTATGTAATAATGATGTGATTCTACCAATTGAAATTAGCTGTGCTGCAAACTTCTGGAGTGTTTTAGAATACAATATTTAACAATTATTCGCTGAAGGCGAGGTGAATATCATCGAATAATCCCCAAGACAAAGTCGAGGAGATTATTCAACAATATTCACCAAACCCGAGGCAAATAATTGTTGTAGTATAATTTCAGAGCTGAAAAACAGAGAAATTTCTAAAATCATAACATTTTAGTAACATTTATTAACATTTTATTTTAACATTTTATATAAACCGCACGGAGCGGTTTACTCCACGCGGTTTATATAGCCTAATATAAGGAACCGCTCAACCAATCAGATTGCTGGAAACTCTTTGCTCAGCTCTGAAATTATACTAAAAGTGTATATTAAGACTTGGTCATCTAAGAGAAGGGGTTGCTACTGGCGGCAAAGACCAACTTTGTGGAAAGCTATACTGAGAGAGATATTGGGGTACAGTAGCTGCGTCAATAAAGAGTTCATTCATTCAGATTGTATTCACTTGGCAATAAGCATAGTTCTAAAAAATATAAAATCTCAAAAATATAAAAGCCAACAAAAAGTAAAGAATGCTTCCTCACCATGAACATATTCCAATACAGTTGTGAAAGGTATTTACATGTAAAATTATCACTGCAAGTTTAAGTCTTACTTTGTTGTATAGAATCTGTCTGACTTTAAGGGTTTAAAATTACCTGTAAATAGAGGTTCCATCATTCAAATTACAGCAAGAGGGAAGTAAACACTACTCAGGGGTATTTTAATCAGTTTTGATGCATTCCAAGCCGTACACTTACATGAAATTCGAAATCCAAGATGGCAGACAATAATTTGAGATAATTCTTGAATTTGATGTTTCTATGCACATGCCCAACTGTGACAGTGGTTCCTATAAGTTCTTAAGTTCTAAACATTGTTTAATAAAGTGGTTGAGTTTGTAAGGGAGAAGTTGGTTGAATTTTACTGCAACACAGTAATAGCAGACTGATATCAGGTCGCCAGCCAGAGAAGAACTATTGATTTCACAATGTTCAGGCATGTTCATGCAGTCACTGAGAATTACATTTCAAAGACTGTAAGACAGCAGAGGTCAAATTCATAAGTCCATCATAATGTTGTAAAAAATAATTGAAAAGCATATTTCCACCAATAACCATTTTAAATTGTCCTTAATATGATGTTCTTTATCAAATTAGGAACCTCTGTAGCCTTAATCATTAGTCAAAAGTATGACTTATCATATTGACAACAAAACCTCATTAAAAGTATGACGTATAAAATATAATTAATACCTCTTTTATGACAAGTCTTTGTCCATCGCGAGGACAGAAAAAGAGTGGTGATTCCCTAAATTGAAGAAAGTTGAAGAGATCAATTCTAATGCTTATGTGTAAATGTAGTTGTAATTAAATATATCCTACACAGAATATGTCCCATTCATAAAGAGCATCAGCATTAAAGGTGATTTACATCAGTGTAATAATAGTTTTGACATGTACTTCATATAAATGGCCCCAGTATAATTACCCCGTTTTTGGTGCCAAAACATTGTCCCAGGGAGTCTGGGAACCAATTACCCCCCCTTAATTCAAAGACGAAACGAATTCAGTACTTGAATAATGGTCAACCGAAGACGTCTAAGGATCACATGAAGATGTATAGATTGCCCTATGAATTGTAGGTAACATTTTGTTGCACTTCAACTCTCAAATGACATTTCATATTTACAACAATCTATCTATTTGTTTTTCTATTTGTTGTTCCTTTGGCAACTAGTACAAAAAATAATTGTTTCTCTATACATCTGTAACCTTCCCACTACAGTAATGCTTCACATCACAAGCGCAAATCAAAAGGGAAGGCACGAGTCTTTGAAATAAGTTTCAAGAAAATTATCCCAAAGTATTAAAAATCATAGTCATTGAAAGGCTGAAAAATAAATTGTGGCAAAATGAATTATAACTAAAATTTACAATGTCATTGATTAACTACAGTACTGTTCAAAAGTAAGGTACCACCCTCTCCAGAGATGCATCTTATTTCTCTCAAGACACACATTAAGAGAAACGAGACATGTTTCTCTCAAGGGAAAGTAGACAAGAGGTGGTGACTCACTTTTGACTTTTAATTTTTTTGGTTGACAAACAAACCTCTATGCCACCCAGTACAAAGGAGACATAAAGTTACCATCTACCTCACATGCAAACTCATGGAAAGTAACTTATGAAAATGAGATGAGAAAATTCCATGCACTTGTCCTCCTTGTGGGGATTGTAAGGAAACTAAAATATATTAGACCACTATAGCACAGATTCTTTACTAAGAGGCCACTTTCAGTCACCCTCACACAATTTGAACAAGGCAATCTTCAAAAGTTCAATGCCCACAAGGGACGATTTTGAACTTTCAAACTGATTGACACATTCCACCTGTAGTTGCATGTCTAGTATCAAAGTTGGATCATGTGTACTATAGGTAGTGTCAATCAATATATCTGCTGATATGGCCACCAATATGTTGACCAACTATCAACTCCATCCCCATGTCAAGGTATAAATCAATATATTTGTCCATAGTCGGTTGATATTTGTCAATAGTTGGTCCACAGAAAGGCAACTATCCATCATAACTCAGTTGATATGTAAACCGAGAGACAGTCGATATGTGATTTGTTGAGTGATGGTGAAGTGCTGGTAGTTTCTTGGTCAGGTGTCAGTAATATCTCAGTCAAGAGTCAGTAATCTATCAGTCAAGCGTCAGTATAAAAAGTGAATTGGTAGCATTAGGCTTACTGGCAACAAAATCTAGTCAAACCTTCCAATTTTCTTTTTCTTTACACTTTCATTAGAGAAATCAATTAAATTTAATTTGTCAAAAGAAAAAATACAAAAAAAAGTTTTTAAAAGAAGGCAAGATACAGCTGAAAGAGTGTTTTAGAGTAGCTGGTACCAAAAAGGTACTTGAAAGGTAATCTGGAAGTCTCCAGCAGAGTGTTGACTTCTTTCATCCAGGATCTTGATTTTCATATTTTGTTTTTGTTATGTATTGATTGCACAAAATATGTGAATTTATCACATTTCCCAAAACATTGAGAAATAAGTCTTCATACACTGAATTCATAAATAGCAGCCAACCTGGGTTGAGTTAGCAGCCAAGAATGAAGTTGAGGCGTTTTAGGATAGAACATTCAGAATTTGTAGAGAGAGAAAGAGATAATCATGGACAATCGACTTACGGAAAACGACATTTTTGGTTTTTCTTTAAGTGGCAGAAGAATTTTGGAGCTAAAAAATGATGAGCTACGTTTTTGGCTGAAAGGCAGGAAAGATTCTGCCTAAGGTTTATGCACTAAAGCTCAACTTGTAAAGAGGTAAATATTTAACTTTGCTGACATCATTCAATCGTATACGTCACCATACTGTATCATAGTGTTTGGAGAAATAAAAAAATTAAATAAAAACCAGAAAATATATCTGTACCACTTTCATGATTGCCAGCCTGCATAGTAAAATGAGCGAAGCTGATCTGCACGATCAACTTCTCCCATGAAAGCAGTGTAAACATCAGCAACTCACGGCTTTTGAATTTAAATAATATCGCCTTTTTTCTTTCACTGCACTGGTCGGGAGGGTTCACTGGGGGAAACACTTGTCGACAAGAAAGAAATATCTCGCTTGTCATGCCATTTAGTGAACACTAGAGGGCCACGCTGTGCAGTTACTATCTCTCCTTGCTTGAGCTTTTGTTTCGCACATGGCGGCAAGTCCTTCCTGTTGCAGCGAACTGTTTCACATACATAGGTGTTCTGAGCAAGAAGACAATCAAAGAGGAAAGAACTTGAGAAGAAATGGTCAAAAAACATGTGCCTGTTTTTATTTAGGAAAGGAGTCCCCACTTTCATCATGATGTCATATCCAAGGCCATGAATGCAATGTCCATTTGCCTCTTGTCCAAGATAAACAGAAAAATTTGACACGTAGCCATTGCTCGCATCTGCCACCATCCAGACTTTGATCCCATATTTCGTTGGTTTAGCAGGCATGTACTGGTGGAATGATGATCTTCCTTTAAATGCTATCATTCTCTCATCAGTCAAAAGGTTTTCCACAGCTCATAAACATTTTGAATTTTCTCCAAAATGTTATCAAGGGTTGGACGCAGTTTGAATAATCAGTCATAATTACCATCACCATGTGGTGTTTCTTGTAAAGAATCATTGAAATGAATGTACTGACTGATTTCTTCAAACCTGTTCTTGGTCATAACATTTTGTATGCCACTATTTCCAATACATGAATTGGAAGACCAATACAGCGAAATTCTTGGCAGGCGGTTTATACCCATTATAATGCAAATACCAAAGTAAGCATTAAGTTCTTGAGCAGTGACATCTTCCCACTTGTCAAGCCTTATTGGCTCATTTGCTAATTTCTTCCGCGCATATTGCTTGGTTTTTTGAACCATTAAATCAATAATGGAAAGGTCAAAAATCAGGATAAAAAAGAATTTTTCGTTCGCTTCCTTGGGAACAACAACTTTGATTCCTGAAGTAGCTGTGAAGTTGTTGATCACAAGGTCCTCAAAATCTTGCGACCACGGAGTTTCATCATCCCTTTTGCTCAAATTTTCTTCATCTGATTCGCTTTCACTCCGAATCGCTAATCCTTTGAAAGCTATGTCAGATTTTGTAGAACCCTCACCATCTGATTCATTGCTATTATCTTCATCGGACGATCCGAAAATTTCACGATATTCTTTTTGGCTTCTAGAATGCGGAGTGGTAGCCATATTTCAGGTAACACGGAGCAAGTACCTGGTTTTAAACATCCACTCTCTGCCACAAAGGGGACGCTAATTTATCTGCATTTGGAAAGATCTTATTGGTTAATACTCACTTTAAAAAATTGAAACAAAAAGGTGGGTAAATGTCGCCTGACAGAGGAGCACAGAGTCCCAAAAATAGTCTTGGTCTCTATGGCCGCTTTTGGCTGCTCTAGGAATAATGTGACATTATTGGCCGCTCTAGCAGTGAAAGGGTTAATTTACCCCAAGATGTTCCCAAGAATTTCAATGACCTCTTTGTCATGAAACTCATTAGGGAGATTAATGCTGCCTTTCATTGGTTCGATGCATGACAGCATCAACCCACACTTTAATGAGGGGCGAGAACTGTGAATTTCTTTGGAGGCCAAAAACTTGAGGTTCGTTTCTACACGAGTTATCTCTACTTACACAAATCAAAATTCTGATAAAACTTAGCGAGAACATTTGTCAGATATCAATGTACAAATGCATGTGAGGCTTCTATTATTTCTGCAACTTCCAGGCTCATAACAACTACCAAAATATTTCTAATTGTCCAACTTCAAAGTATGTGAGGCTTTTTTGATATTCCTATTCCCAGAAATCAACTTTGAATTTGGACAATAACAACAGTTTTGTTGGACACATCACTTCCAAAAAGTCAATTCTTCAAGCAAAATATCTAGTAAAACTCACTCCTAAGAATTAATACTCCACAGGTTTTTTATCAAAGAATGGCTCAACCACAGCATTGTGAAAAACAAAACCCCTGTAAGACGATGGCCCACAATGCTTTCAAACTAAAGACAGTTTCACAGTACAGCTGCTGGCCTACATGAACATCAGAATTATCTCCACCATATAATCACTTTGATGTTCAAGCTTCAGAAACTTTACTACATGCAACAAAAAATGAGGAAATCTCATGATATGGTTAGCAAGTTCTCCAATGCCTTGCTGGTTTAGTCAATAATAATAATTGAACAGTTAGCCATCTCATAACATATTATTATTATTATTATTATTATTATTATTATTATTATTATTATTATTATTACACATTAAAATTACTATGAAACATCTGACTGGTCGAGGGCATTCAGTTAATATGCAGGAGCATGTGAACTTGACATGATAACCCAATATCTGCAGCATATATTGGATTATCATGTTGAGTTTAAAGTCTACTTGGTTTCCAACCCCCTTGTCCAAGTAGTTTTGTCAAACTTTTGCTAAAATGGCTAAACCATTCACCTCTGTTTCTGAGAAAGAATTGAAAGATTTGATTGAGAACAAAGATTCCAAAAACAAGCAAACAAAAAAAAAAAAAACAAGTGTAAAAATTCTGAATGATTATCTGAGGGAGAAGAACCTGGAGGAAACAAAAGTTAAAAAAAAGCATGGCCAGTGTTCTTACAACAACCCTAGAAAATGTGATGGCAACCCATACGCAAGAGGTTCCATATGATTTCTTTACAATTTGGACTCAACAGGCATTTCTAGACAAAAAGAACTGACATTATCAAAGACCCAGAATTCACTGAGGCATACAAAAATTTTTTAGCAAAGCGTATTGATTTAAAACGGCAGGGTTTGACAAAGGTTGAACACAAATCTGCTTTGTCAGAAAATGACTAACGAAAGCTGTACAAGAGTGAGGTTTTTAATTTAGCTGATCCTGAAACACTACAAAAAAAATTGTTCTTCGAAATGATGCCGTACTTTTGCCACCGTGGCAAGGAGCTGAAAATAGTAAGACTTTTCGTTAACAACAGGTGACAATTAGGCACTCAATACATGTGCAAATCAGATTAGTGGGTTCTTTGACAAATTTTTTGAAAAATGTATAATAATTAACTGATCATTGAATTTGGTTTTCACATGATAACACGAATTATCAAAATCTTGAGTCTGTGTTATTTGCCTCAGCCTTCGGCTACTGCAGATTACTCACAATATCGTGCTCAACCTCATCCAATAATTGTTTATTGTAAGAAATGTCAAAGCTGTTAGTAATGTCTGCTTCTCAAGAATAATATTGTGAAAAAATATATTTTAGCATTGTGAGCACTAGTGCGGTACTGGTGAAGTGTCAGTGACATATCGGTGGAGTTTTGATCAACACTTTTCGATCGAGAAATCTAACGATTCTCAACCAATATATATCGACCCACTGTCGACTGTCAACTGATCATCAAGTGCATGTCAACCAACTGTCGACTGACTACGGCCAACTATCCACCAACAATCGACCGCATGTTGACCGCCATATCTACGCTGCATGGAACGCCATCGATCTGACACTACTTGTTGTGCACATAATCCTCAAAGTTCAAGAATGTCCCCATCCCAAAGGAGTACAATTCAATAAATTAAGGATTGCTGTTTTGGAAAATCAAAATCCACTTTTCTCTCAAAAATTATGAATCAGTTTCAAACTTACCAAATGGCGAGCCTCTGAACACAAGCATCACAAAATACGTGTGTACAGGAGGCGCCTGTCATAGCAGTTCTCAGTGGTTCACTTGCAAGCTGCGAACAGAGACCACAAAAAAGCTCTTTGCGATCGTCCCGACTCATTTTTTTAACGATTTCCTCTGAAATGTGGTTCCGTAACATATTTTGTTGAGGAATAACTTGTTGCTGATTTCACTCCCGAATATGGAAGAAAACCCAAAGTAAGTCCGTGTTAGTCCGAGCACATCGTGCGCATGCCGAAAAACTTTCGCGGGCTCAAACTTTCTCTTGAGGAGCAGAGAGACAGATGAGATCTGTTTCCGCGGCAAAACCTAGCGCATACGTATACGTTATTCCGCTCAACTGCATTTTGTAATATTTTTGAAGATGGATGAGGGAGTATGACAAGTATACCGACATTTCTAACTCTGTGGATACTTGTGGTGTTTGCTGGCTTTTCGGTTGAGGATATTTTAATGATCAAAGTGCGAACAAAACGCGAAAAAAGCCTGAAAACTTAAAGTTTGAAGAGAGGGGCTTTGGGATTTTCGGTTTTGCGGTTTTGACTGTTTTTTGGATCGGTTTTTCGGTTTTTGGGCAAAAAGGGTCGGTTTTTCGGATTTGATGCGGTTTTCGGTTTTTCCTTTTTGACCTCTTTAAAGGTGAAAATGTAGCGGTTTTGTCAGGTTTGCATGCGGTTTTCGGTTTCCCTGCCTTTTTTCGACGGTTTTTCGGTTTTGGAGATTTTTTCCTCTGGTTTTGCGGTTTCCCAGAGGCCCCAATGCCTCCCTCTTTGAGATTTGAATTGATTTACTGAAGATCAAAATGGGCACATGAGGCAACAAACCTTGAAGGTTAGTCTTGACATGTTGATGTTTTACTTTTGTGAATCACGAAGTTGAATGTGGAGACGATCATGAGACATTTGATGCAAGGAAAGGTGGAAATTTAGATTTTGATCTTGTTTTACTTCATATTCGAAGAAAAATTTTTAATTAAAAAATTCAAACATAACATTTTAAGAGGGGGGCATCGGAGCCCATTAGAAACCGCAAAACCGTAGAAAAAATCATCCAAAACCGAAAAACCGAAACAAAAATTGATCAAAACCGAAAACCACATCCAAAACTGTCATGAAAACCGATACATTTTCACATCTCAGTTATTGAAGCCCTAATCGATCTGATACAGTAGTGACAAGAGGAGCATACAGAGTAAACGACATCAATTTCATAGCAGTATTTGTGAATGACAGGGACTTGGCATTCGTATCTCCTAGTATCTGCTTAGATTATAGGCTTTATTTCAGCTGCCTACTACTCGTCCTAAACGAGCCATTACATATATAACAGGGGCGTAGCGTGAGATTTCGAAGGTGTACACACAGCGCGGAAATTGGGAGCGCCGAAGGCGCCCCAAACTAGGGGGTCTGGCGGCATACTCTGCCAGAAAATTTTGAAATTTAGGGTCTCGGAACTGCCATTTCGAATTATTTCTGTGGAACATTTTTATAAATGAATGCGACGGAAAATGAGTTGTTAGTTGTTTATTTTACCCATCTCTAGAATTTTAAAGCTAAAAGGGCTGTTGACTTCCTAAAATACATGTCTAGAGAGTTTATCAAGTCAAGGAAATTGGCAATCAAATAACGTTTCTTGTCTTTTATGGATTAATGAAAAGGCACTGGAAAAGCAAACACACACGCCAGTGTAATTCGAAGTTTAAAATCGGTCCTATTTTATGGTAAGTGTGACAAATACTATAAGGAATAAAATTTTTTTCTAGATTTCAGCTGTACGCGCGGGCGTACGTGCGTATATGGACGCTACGCCCCTGTAGAGGGTATAGCGATTGAGCTTTTGTAATGTAAACAATGACATTGGTACGATTGACTTACCAAATGCTGTTTTTATGCTTGTGCAGGCTTCTCTCTTCCTCTTTTACTTTGCATCTAAACTTGTTTTTCTTTCTGAAATTCTCGCCGCCTATCCCCTCTTCGTAAAAAAAAAAAAAACGCGACACAATCCACAATTGCTTTTTGAGGTCCTTGACCTTCTTCCGTTGCTGGCGCGTTTGGCACGTTGGAAGATGCGGTTCGCAAACTGATCGACCTTGACCTTAGTGCTACACATTGCAAGGTCAAAGTCTCGGTGTCATTCTAGACGCGTGAACCCATTCAGATGGTCAAAGTCTTCGGCGTCATTCAAGATGCACAAACCCCTTAGGGATCCATGCGATATTTCAATTGGTTTGTCACGCATTCCTCTCAATAGCAATTACGTTTAGCGGCTATTCGAGATCAGAGGGGGGCGCGCGATTGCCGCTCAGATCGAAGAGAAACCGAAACCAAAATAGGTCAAAGAGAAAAAACCGAAAACCCCATCGGATATCAAATTCGAAAACCCATTAGTAGCGAGGCTCCCACGCGCGCGAAGCCCCATACCCATGGAATATGGTCAGCCTCTTTTCGTTTGGTTGTCACGTGACTGACCGAGCGTACGCACGTACGTACGTGCCTTCAGATTGCATGGTTAGGGTAGGAGAGACTATCAAAACGAAGGGAGGGGTGTCTCAGGCGAGTTTCGGCAAATGCACATCTTTTATGTTTAATTAATATTGCGAACTTGGGAGCTCCGCTTTTAGGCTTGGCTAAATCTATATAATATTGTTCGCGAAAACCGAAAACCAAATGCCTAAAAATGGAAAATCCGCAAACCGCAAAGAATACCAAATTCGAGAAACCGACTTTTTTGTAGCTCGAAAACCGAAAATCCGAATAAAAAAAATAGCCAGAATCGCGAAACCGAAAATCCTAATGCCCCCCTCTTTTATTGATCTATTGACGGGAATACTTTATATTTAAAACGCTTAACTACTAAAAAGAAATATTACTAGTATTAAATTAACAATAAAGCTAATCGGGCTATTTACAATTCAGGAAAAAGGTCATTGCGTAATTTAGACTAAAAATAAAACTAGAAATAATCTTGTGCATATATTAACGTAAAATTTACAATAAGGCTAGTAGCCATTTACTAAAACAATAAGGCTAAAAGGCCAAATTACGAAATTCGATACTGAAAGGGGTTTACAAATATTGAAATTATTTCATAAAAATAGGTCAGCAGCAGTACAATTTACTTTAAAATCATCTACAACTTCACTTCTAAACAAGGGCTGGCGCAATCCTCTGATGCTAGTATTTACAGACTTTAATACTTCAAAAGAAATCCTAGTCCTGAGCCAGCTAATAACAAATGGGTAATCTTCAACATCCTTCTCTGCCAATTTCTCTGCTAAATGTTCATAAACATTTTGCATTCTTCGCCCATCCTGCCGTTGGTTCCAAAAATAAGTGGGGTAAAGGAGCCCATCTCGACTTCTAGTACCCTTTGTTGGTACTTTCTCTTCTTCTTCACTCTCCTGTTCCTTGAAAATTGCTGCAGTTGATTTTCCCTGGTTAGTCTTGGAGTTGACATGCGACACTCTAACAGCGAAAAATGCTGTCACTCCGCGCAACCAGAAGCCATTAGCCTTCACATCCAATCTCGTGTGGGAACTTGTTGTGGCTGATCTTAAATTCATCGCTTCATTGTCCAATGGCTAGAGGTGAGGCTCCTCTTGGACGTTCTTGCATACTTTGCGAAGTGGGGAGGTTAGTAGATTTCTCACGGTAGTTACGAAAACGAAGACCCTGAAAACGAAGACCTAAGACCCCCTACGAAAACGAAGACCCATCACGAAAACGAAGATCCATTATGAAAACGAAGACCCATTACGAAAACGAAGACCCATTACGAAAACGAAAACGAAGACCCCCAACGAAAACGAAGATCCATCACGAACGCGAAGACAAAAAACACCATTACTCCCTGAGGTTTTCGCCGGCAAAGAATTCAGGTGTCTTGTTTCTGTATTGCTTTATTGCTTTTATTTTTTCCGTAATGGGTCTACGATTTCGTAATGAGTCTTCTTTTTCGTAGAGGGTCTTAGGTCTTCGTTTTCGGGGTCTTCGCCTTCGTAACTACCGGTTTCTCACTCCATCATGGTGTTGAGCCACAAATCCCCCCTTTTTACATGACAAGGCATGCATTACCTTAAATGGCTCGCCATAAGCACAGGTAGACAGTATGTCCAGCAGTGGTAAATTGTATCGCAATCACAGGGAATCTCTAAATTATTGCTTATTCAATGCCAAACCCTGATCTTTGAGGGGTATGGCATTGAGCCAGGAACTTGCACCTTAGTCTCTGGCTTGCTGTGTGAGACGCAACAGCTCAGGGTCGAGGGATGCATCAATACTGGAAGTAAAATTGCATTAAGTTTGAGGTGGCCCCCAAGCATCAAATCACTTTCTATATCATCTTTTTTTTCTCTTTACAGTCACCTAGGACACGAGGCTTTAAAAAATGTTCCAGCTTCAGGATTGAGTTGCTCTTACTACAACCTTCTGGGAATTACTTTTTGGGGAGGTTTTGATGGATTTTCCAAGTCATGACCCAAAACCGCCTTTGGCCTTTTTGCTCTCTAAGTCTGTTGTACATGGAAGGTAAGCATGTGTCTTAATTAAACAATAGACTGTTTCTGTCGAGGAACTATCTGCTGATAGTTGCCCCGCCAAAATTTGATGTTCTTAAAACAGACCGATAGTTCCGAGACATAAACACTCAATGGTGTTTATTGTTCACCACTAAATTTTGCGCACGCCAGTTGAAAAACGGTCAAAACACATTAAATGCAGATCAATCAAATATTTATTCATGCATACAGCCTGTCACAAATGTTAATAATTCACAACCATACATTGGCTAAACAATGTGTTATACCTGTCAGAATTGAAAAGTCACTGTTTTTCCAATCTGCATAACTTCGTGGCCGTCAAACCATTCAAAATTTTTCACGGATGAGTACTATTCATCCGGGTATTTTCTACGGACGCGCACCGTGGGCTGATAGTGTCTCTCGGGATGAACACTATCGTGTCATGTGATCAGTCTAAACCAATAAGAATCAGAGAAAATTTAGTGGTGAACTATAACAACGGTTATGGTCTTGCTTCAATCAACTCTGGTTTTGACTTATTTTTTTCAGTGTATTTTATAGGTAATTTTTATCATTGCCTTTACGAGTTCCGTGTGCTAACTAGTGGAAAAACTTCGGTAAAACTTATTTGTCACATGGTCCCTAAATCCCTCACTATCATCAGTTAATTGTTT